ACTGATGATGTGTGGAGGGGATTGTAATCAATGTAATGAAACAAGTCATATGAATGGTTGAATGTGAAACTGATGATGTGCCCTGTAAACTTTCACTCAATCCACAATAAAAACCTTAAAATAAATAAATAAAAGGGTCCGATCCAAAAAAAAAAAAACATAAGCTGTCTGGTGAATGTTTTAGTGTTTTGTAAATTTGAGTTCTGTGCCCTTGACAATGCTGGCTTCTGAACAACATCCTGGTGGCTACCCCTACTCTGCTCAACTGCCATCTAGCCTCTGCCTTTGGTACGGATATTTCAATAGAGTCAAAATATTCTTGCTTTTCAAATAATACATCTGTGTGTTCTTTGAAAGCTAGACTTGCACTCAAGAGAGGAGGTTTTTTGTTGTTGTTGTTTTTAAATGCTTTATTGTGAATTATGTGATAGTTTACATAGGAGGACATTAGCTTCAAATTGATCCCTTTGTATATCATTTCCTTGCCATAGTTACAATCCCCTCCGTGCATCATCTACCAATCAAAGAGTATATATACCCAGCAAACCTGCCCCCGGTTGTCTGCACACAGCCCCTCTTCCTCTCCGGGTCCAAAGTCTCCAGTAACTCCATCTCCCCACGTCATTGTCTCTGCCTCCAACCCTGGCATCACTGCTTCTCTGGGTAGGGTTCCATTCTCCATTCTACTCCCTTGATGGTCCCAGGGACCTCCACTCCTAGATTGCAAAGTTAATCACTCCCCTCCCTTTGCCAGAAAACATCTACTTTTACATTTCCAGCCCTTACACTCAGTCCTGATAAGAATTATTCACTAATGTATCGCAAGAAATCTATCCGCATCTCCTTTCATCAGCCCCAACTAGACAAAATGGATACTACTCAGTGGAGATTCTACCTTGCTTCATGCCCTCTGGATCTAGTTTCCCTCTTGAAAGCTTGTAAGCCAGTCACTTCTTGCCTCTGTAGCCCCCTCATTCTGGGTAGCCAATGTCCAAGTTGCCCATCCCAGTCCTCTCCGTGTGCGGAGGGGGTGGGAATGATCCTTGCTGTGAAGATATGTTCCCTCTCTTGAGCTACTGCTTCCATAGGTGTATGTCAAATTCATCAAGTTGTATCAGATTATTCTTTATTCCCTTTTCTCTCTTCTTCTGGTTGAGCTCTGATCATTCAGTTGTTGAAGCCAGGTCAAGTGGATATTATCTGCAACTGTGGGTGTTCTTATGCATGTGCCTTCTCTCCTTATCAGCAGGATTCTTCACTCTCCACTCTAGTCCTCTGTGGCTATGTCACTGACTCTGGGTCCAAGGGTCCCCTGGACTTGCCATACTGTGGTCAATGAGGTCTCCATCTGGGTTCACAGGAATCTATTGAGCGTTGTAGGGCTTAGCTCACAGCTTCATTGCTCCTTTTCCCTCACTTCCCTTTATCAGTGACCAATGTGGCCACCAATCAGAGTATGTATTCCCATTGAGTCTTAGTCTTAGAATGTGGTTTGCCCTGAGGGAGACCCGACCACTTGCCTTGATGTCTCCTGAGTGATCCACTTGTTTGTTCTCGTATTAATCAGTCTGTCTATACTGTTTTGTATTTTTCCTGTCAGTCTTTCTTTCAGGAAGTATCTTCTGGCTGCTCCAGGCTGGTCTGCTTGTCTTTTCAAGTGAAAATTTCCCCTCAGAAGATTCTAGATGCTGTTCAGGATTCCACCTATGATCTTGTGTAATGCAGAGGCTCCACAGGAAGCCTCCTTCACTGAGCACATTGTTGTTGTTAAGTGCCATCGAGTCGGTTCTGACCCATAGCGACCCTGTACAGGGTTTCCGAGGGTGTAAATCTTTACGTGAGTAGAAAGCCTCATCTTTCTCCCGCAGAGCAGCTGGTAGTTTTGAACCACTGACCTTAAGGTTCGCAGCCCAATTCGTAACCACTATGCTACCAGAGCACGTAGTAGCCCCATTTTAGATATTCCAATCAGTTACAGGCAGAAGATGGATTTACAAGCTTTCTATGATGGTATTTCTGGCTATTCCTTTCTCTCCGCCTCCAGTGTCTATTTTATAGTGGTATGCCAGGGAAACCAAGATTCAAAAGACAGACAAGCATCTTAACATTATTTCCCCCCTTTTCCCCATTCAAACCATGTCTCAATTTCTGTATCCCAGAGCCCTGTTGTTCCAAGGTTGTGCAAACATCATTATTTGCCTCTGTCCTACTTCAGCTTCACAGTCATCCTATCATATTTCATTTCATTGCAATGATTATAATCCCCTCCATGCATCATTAAATAACCAAAGGATGAAACCCCACAGGCCGGCCCCCCATGGCTGTCAGCAAACAGCTCCTTTCCTTCCCTGAGTCCTGTGTCCCCAGCCACTCCATCTGTCCACACCATCATCCCTGTCTCTATGCCTGACCTCACTGCCTCTCTGAATAGGGTCACACTTTCCATCTTGCTTGATGGTCCCAGGGACCTCTGTTCCTGGGCTGCAAAATCAGTCAGTCTCCTCCTTTTGCCAAAAAACAAAACAAAACAAAACAAAACAAAACAAAACAAAACAATAAAACTTCAGAAAAGGAAAAGAAAAACATCAGCCTCTACAATTCCAACCCTCACAGTCAGTCCTGGTGGCAGGTATTCACTCTTTTACCACAGGAATCTTATCCCCACTTCCTTTCGTCAGTGTGGTCCCAACAGTTTGGAAATCATTCAGCGGAGGTTCTGCCTATCCCTGCTCCGTCTGTAACTAGGCTACCTCTTGAAAGCTTGCAAGCCAGTCACTTCTTGCCTTTTTAGCCCTCCCCACAAGGTATTCCAGTCAGTTATATAGGCTGAAGACGGGCTTACATGTTTTCTGTTGTGATATTTCTGGCTATTCCTCACTCCCTCAAGTGTCTATTTCACAACGGCAGGCAAGAGAGACCAAGATTCAAAATACAGCCAAGCATCCTAACATTATTCCCCTCTTTTTCAAGGGAGGAGTTTTAATAAAAACTTCCAGTTGGTAGAGCAATATACTTGGGAAAGGTAAACTATTAGGTACCTATCAA